GCATGACCTCTGACCAACTAACCCAGCTGGATATGCACCCTCCAGGAGATCTAACTGCTATGTTGATTTTGCAACCCCTGCCTGTGCATAGACCTCCCAGCTGCAATAAGATGATAACTTTTTGTTCTTTTCAGTTCCTTAGGAATGTGATGACCCCCAAACAGAGAGTCTGTGCTGAGAGCCATCATCAATGAAAACTGAAAGACCTGGTGTGGCGACTCCCAGTCCGTAACACCAGAAGGTCAACATTCCTAACCCCCTCCCCTATAACCCACTGGTCTATATAACTGCTGTAAGATTTGTGCCCCCTTAAGATGGTTCTTTTCAGACATTAGTCGGCCATCTTCCCTCTTGCTAGCAAGCTGTAATAAAAAAGTCCGTTTGCTCCTACCGCCTTGCCTCTTGACTATTGACATGTCTTGCGGCGAGCAGAAGGCCCCACGTTGGGCAGTAACAGAAACATACACTTGCCATGAGAACTGTTTAAACTGATCACAAGTATCTGTTCTCATGCTATCCTGCCAGGTATTCATTCCCAGTTGCTTCAGCAGTAAATGGTGGCAGGTGCCTTCCTCTTCCCGATTTTAAACAAAATACTTTAACGGCTAGTCTAGTAAATATAGCCAATCAGGTAAGTAGAAATGGATTTTGAAAATACAGTCTGAAAACACAAGTGAATTACCTACCCACTACCATTTAATCAGGATAAAAATCTAGTACTAAACACACAAGACTCATTTTCCACAAGTCAGCATGTCCTCATGTCCACCACTAGAAGAGAAGAAGAGAATACATAAGTAGTCCGGCCACAGAGGCCGACCTGAAGGACGAGCGCTATTATATCAACACCAGCGGAGGTCCGTGACCCAGTGCTGACATCACGCCCCAAGCCCATGGGCACCTGTTATGTGCTGCCCCACCTGGTCCTTCTAGCACCCCTTCCGTTGTAGAAATAAGGACTCTGAGACACCGAGAGGAGAAGCAGTTCACTCTCAAGACCTCTGTATTAGTCTGCCTGGGCTGCTACAACAAAATACCACAGCCTGGGTGGTGTAAACAACAGCAGTTTATGTTCTCACCGTTCTGCAGACTGGAGGTCCGAGATCAAGGCGCAAGCACGCTCGGGTTCTGGTGAGCACCCTCCTGCTAGTTTGCAGATACCTGCCTTCTTGCTGTGTCCTCACACAGCAGAGACCTCTCTCTCCATCTTCTTATAAGGTCATAGTCCTTTCAGCCTAAGGCCCCACTGTAATGACCTCATTTAGCCGTAATAACTATCTTAACAACCTAAAGACCCTATCTCCAGAGATGGTCACACTGGGGGTTGGGGCTTCAATATACGAATGGTGGTTGGGGGCACAATTCAGTCCATAGCAGTCTCACGGCCTGCAAGAGGCAGAGCTCGAAGGAGAACCTGGGAGATCAAACGGCAGAGCCAGAGGGTTGAATCACTCTCCCCACCTCCCTCCCAACCCCCCTCTCCCTTCCCTACTATCCAGGGCTCCACTAATGCACACCCTCACTCTCTGGGGTATATCTGTCACTCCCTTTTCCTTCACCCTGGTCAGCTTAAGCCCAAGAGAGCAAAACAGCTTCACTTCAGAACAGGTGAAAATACTGCACTTGACGACTCAACTCGGATCATCACCGGCTGGGAGCGCACATCATTCATTCTTCAGAGGCAAACCTGTCATGAAGACTAATCAATGCCTGGCCTTCACCCGTGCCAGTTACAGACCATGTCAGCAAAAAGAAGAATGTGAAGGGGCATAGTCAGGACTCCAAGGCTGCGATAATTCACCCTCCGTGTAATGAGATGAAAAGGGGATGTATAATTAATATTAAGCGGCGGTATCCTTATGAACCCACCGAGCAATTCCACGCTGTGCTCCCTTCCAGCAGGGGTGAGAGGCCGCCAAACTGAAGCCCAGCAGGAGGCTCCGTGCAGGGAGGAAGGCTATAAGGGGGCTAGGCAGGGAAAGGCCAGGGTCTTCTCACAACAGCTGTGGTAGAGGGGCTGCGAGTGTGGGCCGTGTAGTCAGAGAGCCTGGGTTCAAGTCCTGTCTCCTCCACCTACTAGTGGTGTGACTCAGTTACCCCATCTATAAAATGGGGATAATAATGTTAGGATGATAGTAGAAAACCAAAGAGGCTGTTAGGAGGATTAAAGCAGTTGAAGAAGACACTGATCAAGTACTCAGTAGTAAATGTCAGTGGTCATTTCCCTGCAAGAACTGAAAACCTCAGGGCATGGTGGGATGGTCTTGAGTCTGAACCACAACTCAATGGATTCAGGCAAGGTAATGCACTGCCTTGAGCCCTGCTTTCCCTCTGAGGCCCAAAACCCTCAGCCTGCAGGGCTGTGATGAAGACTGCCGTCATAAAGACCAGGATATAATGCACGGGTAGCAGGTACCGTTTCCTGGAATCAGCTCCCAACCTCCCTCTGCAGATCTCCATCTCTGTTCCTGAGACTCAGCTCGGACCAACCTCCTGCCCCCGTGCACTGCTTCAGGAATGGTCACGGGGCCCAAGTCAGGTCAATCGTGGCCACCCCTGACCTTCAGCCTCAGCTGGGCTGTTCAGCTAGGAAAAATCAAAGCACCAGTGGTCAGCGTGAGTCATGGCTTGACAAGAAAGCTGACACATGGGAAAGCAGGAGATAGAGTCAGCTGCAATTCTAGACTTTTTAGTTACAAACCCGGAGAAATTCCCTTCTGTGCTAAAGCAAATTGAAGTCTCCATCCCGTATAACTAAAAAAGTCCTGAGCCATACAGTACGTACTCAGTTCTGACCAATGGATTGAGGACTCCTCCTTTTCACTTATAGCTTGAAGGGGCATTATCTATCTATCTATCTATCTATCTATCTATCTATCTATCTATCATCCATTTATTATCATATATATGCATGCACACAAGTATATACAACTTCTTACAGTGGACAATATTTTCATTTACAGAAAATATACTTTCATTTCTTTTCCTCTCAATTAATTCTCAGAACAGTCCTAGCAGTAAACAGGGCATTATTATCAATATTAACAGGTGGGGAAATTGAGGCCAGAGAGTTTGAGAGGTGACTCCAAAATCAGGTGGCAGGTTCACTCCTTCCTAGCTTACAATGACTACAATGCCATCATAGGCCACAGGCACAGAGGGTTTTATCTACCCAGCACTCTCACGTAATGGAAGGGCGTCTGTTGTTAATCTGTTGGCGTCTTGGAGACCGTGAACAGAGCATCGAAAAACAGTGCCTGAGAATGGGCTGCTCTCACAAAGCACCCTCGTTCAACACGCATCACAGCCCAGACGTGATCCACCCCCTTGTCCCACTCAAGGAGTCCCCCCGAAAAAGTTTAAGCTCAGCGATACTCATCTCAGCATTACTTACATTGGCAAGGTCCTTAGGAACTGCCGTAAATAACCTACATGACAGGACAAAGGACAGATCTTATTGAACTTTTCCCCAGTGGAACGTTATGTAGCCATTAAAAGTGATTTGCAGGAGTTTGCAATAGGAGATAATGCTCCTACCAGACTATTAATTTGAAAAAGCAGAAAACAAAATCATTGTGCATGCTTTCTGTCTCATGACGTACACAGCCATATTGATATGAGACAAGAAGTACAAAAAGGATTATTCACTAAAATGCAGTCTAGGGGTGGTCAGATTCTGGATAATTGTTGCCTTCTTATGTATCTCATTTTCTGCATGTTGTAATGAACGTATGTTGCTTTTTAGATTAGAAATTTACTTTTAAAAAATTCCCTTGCACAGCGATCAAAACATGAAGGGGTTTATTTCCCCCAAACAGCTGAAGAGTTTGGATGGTGCCTGGGGACATGAAGATCTTGCACCCACTACTCAGACTCCAGTGTAGAATACACAGTGTTCTTTTCCCCCTGGAAATGCCCAAGTCTGTGGCATCTGACAGGCATACCTTGATTTTCTCAAACAGGACAATACTCCAATGCTGGGAGTACTTCTGAGTATAAAGAACAATCGAAACAATTGGTATTATTAGGAATATATGGACTAGACTAGACTTTCCCATCAGGGGTCACCTCTGATGCTTTTAAGATCAATGATCTGTCAACTGAGATGTAGAAGGAAACAGAATTTGTTTCCTAGAACAGCCTGTGCTCTCCCCTTCAACAAAATCCAGCTCAGGAAACATTCAGTAAGTGCCTCCAATGTGTCCAAGACTCTGTTCGACTCCCAGAAACAAAGAACCGAGAAACAGCCTCTGCTTTCAAGGAGCAAGTGATTTCTTAGTGAGGACAGAAAGTAAACCAATAATTTGGGTTCACTGTGGTGAAGGCTGCGTTGGGCGGGTCAAGCATAGGTCAAGGTGGAGACGTGAGGGGTGCTCACCCAACCTGTGGGTCACTGAAGGCTCCTGACCTAAGTGCCTCATAAGCTGGACAGAAGGATTGCAGAGGATTTAGAGGAAACTGGGGGAGCCGGGGGAGGTGGAAGTTTCAGGAAGAGGAGATGTCATGTGCAAAGGCACAGAGGCACGGAACCACCAGCAGGGTGGCACTTAAAGCAGAGAAAGTTCCGGAACATGGATCATGGCAGCCCTTGTGGGAGGGATTCAAAACTTGGAATTTAGCATGTCCACGCTGGGCAACCATCCTGAGTCCTTCTTGCCATCAACACTACAGATGTGACTTTCTAAAAAGTTAGACTCCCCTTAGAAGACTGTATTTGGCATTCTCTTATAACACATGCGTTCTCAGATACAAAAAAATCCTCCTCTTCTAAATCTATTTTCAACTCTGATTCATCAGGTAAGAGAATGGAATTAAATTTAAAATTAAGCATATGCTTGATGATGTCATCAGAAAACGTACTCTACAAAAAACCCAAAAGAATATTTGAACGCAGAAAACTCCATTCCTTTCTCTCTTCGACAAGAAGATTCCTTCCAGCAGAGCTGGATCCGCATTTGGCTGCATAACAGATTTCACAGGAGCCCGATGGGATCACTCACCACAGATTGACTAAGAAAGGATGCTCCAGCCCCTGCATGATCTGGAGTTCCCGGAAGACGTTCCGGACTTCATCCCTCTCGATGCACTTCTGCTTGTTCATGTATTTCATCGCGTACATTTTCTTAGTGTCTCGCTTCTGCACGATGCATACCTGAGTGACAGCCAAAGGGGACAACATTCAGCCCAACATGAAAAAAATAAGTCAGCCCCTCACTGCATTTCTACTCCGGGGTTCAAGTCTCTGTTCTGGAAACTTGCTGGCGGAGCAGCTCTGGCTATGCCACAACCTCTCTGCATCTGCAAAATGGAGGAGTTGGACCAGATTCACCTGTTATCGAGAATTATTACAAGTATTGAGTAGGTATTGAGTGCTGGACGAGGAGCTGCAGATACAGGAGATGGAAGAAGCAGCCCTGCTCTCGAGGAGCTCACAGCCCAGGAGGAAAATGGACAAATGCACCAACATCTATGACCCTGAGATACACGGTGTGGGTGTTCCCCGTGGCCCCTGGCCTCCACACTTCAGTGCACACCGGCTGTCCGCCAGCCCCGCACTTCTTTGCCTCTCGCTGTCAGCAGAGCCCACTTTGCCACCCATGCAACAGACGGGCAGTGCCAGAGAGTTAAGGCCCCAGGAGCATCCCCATGCTGGGAGTTGGGGCATCTACACCCCAGGCCCTTGCCCATCCAGTGGGGTAAGTCTGAGGCTCCCAGAGCTCCCAGGTTTGAGAGTTTACCCCCGGGAGTAACTGGCTGATGGCACACCGTTTCCTGGCAGTCTTCTGCCTTTCCTTCCCTGACTCACTTCCCAATCCAACCCCCTATGCTTTCTTCACTTCTCCCGTGCCCTGTACTCAAATCCTGGCCTCGGAGCCTGCGCCCAGAGAAACCCACACTAAGGCCCGTGGGCACTGGGGGAGCAAAGGCGAAGTGGAAACAGCAGTGCTGACAGCTCCCTGTACTGAGAGCTTCACTGCAGACCAGTCACTGAGCAAACAGTCTCCTTGATTCTCTCACTTAATCCGCACAAGAACCCTAGGAATAAAGCCTTGAGGAAGCTGTAGCCCCCAGTGCACTATTTAACTCGCCCAGAGTTCATCAAGTCCCTGAGTGGCAGGGCGGAGAGTCAAACCCACGACAGTCTGACTTTTGAGTGACTCCCCTGCTGGGGGCAGCCGGGGGCAGGACAGGAGGACCGACTGTCAGAAAAGGCTCTCTGGAGGAATAAATGCCGGAGGGTGAGCCCGAAAGGATGCAAAGATGACAAGAGCAAAGGAAGAGCCTTCCAGGGAAAGAGAACACTACAAAGGAGGGCACGGAACCCCAGGACACACAGCAGGGAGCGTGGTATGGCTGGAAAAACCGAGCAGGGCGAGCGCGTGCTGCGTGGCATGAACAGTTAACCAGGACTGCATGATCCTGTCTTCCCAACAGCCCGATGAGGTACTGTGTTGGTTTCCTCTGGCTGGCACAACAAAGTACCAGGAACTGGGTGGCTTAAAACAACAGAAACTTATTGTCTCATGGTTCTGGGGGCCAGAAGCCCAAATCAAGGTGCCAGCAGGGCCGTGTTCCCTCTGAGGGCTCCAGGGGAGGCTCCTTCCCGCCTCTTCTAGTTTCTGGCGTCTGCCATCGACCCCAGGCCTTCCTGGGCTTGTGGCTACAGCACTTCAACCTCTGCCTCTGGCGTCACACGGCCTTCTCCCCTCGGTGTCTCTGTGTCCAAATCTCCACCTTCTTCTAAGAACACCAGTCATATTGGATCAGAGGCCCACCCTAATCCAGTGTGGCCTCATCTTAACCAATAACATCTACAGAGACGCTATTTCCAAATAAGGTCACATTCGGAGGTTCCAGGAGAGCATGGATTTGGGGGCCACTATTCAACCCGGTCCAGGCAGCTACTAGTCTGTCGTCTCTTGACAGATAAAGGAAGAGAGGCACAGAAAGGCTGCAGACCTTCCTCATGTCTCGGGACTCAAACCCAGCTCTCCGCCTCCCCAGCCAGCACTTTTCCCCAACACGCTTCCTTCTGAGCACAGCGCACGTGGGAATGCCCTGCTAAGGAGCCGGGGGTTTTCCCTGGGCGTGCCTTGTTCTCCTGCTGGGAATCCGACTCCTTTCAGGTCCAACAGGCCGTGAATCTGTTTGAGGCAGACACCAGACGTTGGGGAAAAGCCTGAATTCCGCCCCCAGCTGTGCTTCTGTCTGCCTCTCTGAGCCTGTCTCAGCCTCTGCCTGAACTGCACCCCTGGGGCGAGACTAAAGAGACTAAAGGAGACCAAGGAAGTAGGAGTGCCCGCCCTATTAGGGGACAGTAACGTCACCTGAATCTTAATGTCTTAAACAGCACATTTCATGAAAACTCCAGAAGGAGGTTTTGCCAGGCAGTAAAATCAGTGGCATGAGGTTGAAGGCCCCCGGAACTTCCTTTTCCAGTGAACTTGAACATATAAAATGCCAGGAGGCAAAGGTGTGCTGTACAAAAGCAGCGTGGGGCCCTGGCTTTGTGGAATCCCAGCAGAGACCTCTGGAGCCCTGGGCCCAAGTCCCTCAGACCCATGTCTGCAGGCAGACATGCAGTGGATGGATCATTCCACTAGTTAGGATTTCCCATCTCTCTCACTTCTCCCTTGTCTTCCCAGAAGAGAATTTCAGCAGACACTGCCTCTGCCGGGGCTGGTAGCCCTGAAGTCCAGCCAGCTGCACCATCTCCAAAAGCTTAGGCTGGGATAAGATGGAGTCTGTGCAATGCCCCGGGTTCTGAGTTCCGGCAGATAAAGACCTCCCTGATTCTCAGCCATTACAACGAAAGGTGCTGAGAGATGGGGAGCGTGACATTCACCTCAGCTCAGAGACAGGTGAGGAATTGGAAGAGACTCTTCAACATTTAATTAGAACTCCAGCTTTCAAAGTAGAGCTAATGATTTGCATAGAGGTTGGAAGTCTGACTTCGGTGCAAGATAAGGAAGGGTGGTTGGGACAGGATGTTGGATAGAGCTTGCAGTTTTGGATTTACAAGTAAACGAAGTGAGGTCAAGGGATGGGGTTTTGGCCAGCTCTACGCAGATGAAGGGGTGTGGCTGGGCCTTGATTCCCTCCTCAGTAAACTGAGGGCTTGGATCTATTTTCTAAGGCATCTTAGAAACACTCTATGTTTCTCAGGAACACAGAGCTAAAGGCTGGACCCGGGGTCAGGAGAGCTGGGCTCTGCTCCTGGCCCTCTTGTAGACCAGGAGTAGGGCCACGCATATAGCCCTGGTCCCTCTGGCCTTGCTTCCGTATTGGCCAAGCGAGTCCGGTAGCATTAGCTGAAGCAATCTGACCAGGAGATAGAGAGGCTAAAAGAAAAAAGAAAAAAAAACCTAAGACAAATCTAATGCACTGGGTTGAGACGCAGGTCTACCGGGAAGTCACAAAGATAAAGTTTGGGCTCTGGGGCACTCTGACCAGGGCTTATATTCCAGCTCTTCGCGGTGTGACCATGGCCAAGTCACCCACCCTCTCTGAGCCTCAGTCTACTAGCAGTAAAATGGCAGTGATGTGTTCTTGCTCCAAGGGCTGTTGTGAGGACACGGGAGGGAGTGTCTGCAAAGGGTGTGGTATGGTGCTGGCAGGTTGCACGTGCTGAAAGGAGGCGATTTTTCTTGACTTCTCACAGGATTATGCACATACAACGCTCCTGAGACAGAGGGCTTGCAGCAAATGGCAGCTATGACGATTATTACTACTGTCATCTTAACTGTCAATGAGGATTCATCTGAAGGAAGAGCAGGGGTGCTGTGGGGAAGGTCTGCTTCCCAGGACACAGGGTCACAGACGTTTCTGCCCCCATGGCTGGAGCCAAGCAGGCCTGGGCAGCTCAGGACAGCGTGTCTATTGAACTTACCAGGTGGTTTGGCCTGAGCCCTCATGTTGCAGAACCAAGGAAGTGGGGACACTTGGGAGCAGCCCCCAGGCTTTCCATCAGTCAGGATGGCTGAGGCCCAGGGAATGGAATGGGAAGAACCAAAGAGGAGGAGAAGAGCAGGTGTAGTCACAGTTGACAGGCTGCCCTCCAGGGAATGGAATGGGAAGAACCAAAGAGGAGGAGAAGAGCAGGTGTAGTCACAGTTGAAAGGCTGCCCTCAAAAAGATATGTCCACATCCTGACCCCCAGAGCCTGGGAATGTGACCTTATTCGGATAAAGGGTCTTTGCAGATGTAATTAAGTTAAGGATCTCAAGATGAGATCATCCTGCATTAGGGTGGGCTCTAAATTCAACCAGTGTCTTTATAATAAGAGAAAAGAAGGGAGAGGACACACACAGGGGAGAGGTGGTGTGACCGTGGAGGCAGAGCTTGGAGAGATGATGTGTCTACCAGCCAAGGAACCCCAAGGAACCCCAAGGATCCCCAGCAACCCCAGAAGCCAGGAGAGAGGCCTCCGAGAGATTCTCTCCTCGAGCCTCAGAACTGTGAGAGAATAAACTTCTCTTGTGTTAAGCCACCCAGTTTGTGGTTCTTCGTTACGGCAGCCACAGGAAACTCAACAGTCTGTAAATGTCCATCGCGGCCATCCACCTGTGGCTGACCAACTCGGCAAGCACCTCCATGATCCTTAGTCTCCCGCACTGTGAGATGAGTTTCAGGCCTGTCCCTCCCAGGTCTACAGTGGGGTTGCCATGGGAGCAAGTGGAAGGAGCCCAGCAGAGTGTGTGGCCCTCGCAGGTGCCCAGTAAATGTGGGCTGTTGGAGGGCTGGCCAGATTGATGCCTGGAATCCAACCCCGAGCCCTGGAGAATGAGGAGGCGCTGAGCACATTCAACTCCCAAAGCAGCGCCCGGCTTGAGTCTGTGCTGCCCAGGACCCCACGTTCCAGCCCGAGCCCATGGCTGTGCCCTCTCTGCATGAGTCCCTGTGATCAGAGCGATTTCTGGTGCTTAGAGTTTAACGCTTGAAATTTCAGAAACAGGAAAATTTCATGGTAATAGCTTCCTAACCAGCCAGTCCCACCTCTGCTCTGGTCTTTGCAGATGCCTTTTTGTCGAGTAGGAACTTCTGAAAAATGAAAGACTTGAAGCCCTTCCAGGGCTTTCTTTCACCTTCAGGAAATGTTCAAGGTCTGTATCTTGGTATTCAAAGCCCTCCGTGCCTACATCACTTCTGACA